TTTTTAGTTTAAAGGAAAATGACCTATTTAATCTTCAATTATGGAAATATAATTTATTTCATCCTTAATTATTGAAACCTCCACATTTAGTCTCTCAATTATTATCTCAGAATATAATCTCTTGATTCCTCGATAACAATTGGTGGGCTATATATATTTACGACCAAGATATTTAATAGACTTTGTTACTTGACCACCAATATGATAATTGGAGAACCAAATGTAGATGTTAAATGGATGTCTCAGTAATTGAAAAATTGTATCAATTAAATAAATTATTTCTTTGATAAATAAACATGTTAAAATGTTGTGATAATTCACCCGGCCATGATGTAAAGTTTGGTAGTTCAGCACTAACAAAGGGGGAAAACGAAAGTTCAACGATAAAAAGAGTGTACAAAGAGGGCATGACCAAAGGTTTTGGACTACACTTATAATTGAAAGGCTCAATATCATATCTTTTTTTTTTTAGTCAAAGTGGTCCAAAGTCTACAAATAATTAGAAATGATTGAACCTAAACATTAGGCTTATGCTATTTACTTTAGTATGACACTTACCTGATTTAAGGATGTTGCCAACCTCTCCCATTGCATTATTTCAAGATCAAAAAGGGGTCCAATTGAATGAATCTACTTCACTAATATATTTCAAAGGTTTGTCATCCTCACTCAATTGATAAGTCATATTTAAAGATCACGAGTTCAATTTTTTTTTTTTTTTTTACATCGATGAAAACGAGAACTGAATGAATTGTATTGAATAAACTTAATTACAAAGATACAGGAATATATATTGTGGGGGAATCGGAGACTAGAATAGGGAGTCATAATCTAACTCAAATACATAAGTCTTAATAGCAACATCTTAGTCAAATTAATTGCACAAGATCTTTTTAATACAATTTACTTCTCTTGTTTGATTTACAAACTATTACACATGAGCGGGATTTACATATAGTGCACTCCTTCAAATAGTGATTGAGCCTAGAAGGCTAGAATGCAAGTATTGTCATGGTCCATCCTTTTCGCTGATCATAGACCATTTGTATAATACTCCGTAGAAGATAATAAGTGGTGCATTATATTCATAGTGAAATAATATCTTATTTCATAATCCTGTCCTGGTGGAGTAACTAGCCTTCATGCCCCTTAAATACAGGGTATGACCATTATCGTAAATAATGGAGATTTATGTCCTTATTTTTTTTATTTTTATTTTTTTGAGTTCTTGATTCTATTATAAGATAGTATTTGTTCTATATTTTTTTTTATCTGTTACAGTCTAAAGAGTTAATACTCAATACCTTACTGTCGAAGTTTAACCTTATAATCTTCCCTCAAGTAAATAGACAAAGGTGTCATCTAAGCACAATGAGCTTGACTATGCCATTATTTAGTTTGCAACAACTAGTAATAATTTATTCTTCCAATAGACCAATAGTTAATTTGATCAGATTAAATCTTTGGGCTAGACTTCTAATTTGTCTTATGAACTATTGTTGTCACTGGGCTATCTATACCATCAATATGAAAACAATTGGTCACATTTTATATAGGTAGACAACGTAGCCACAAAAACATTTATGAGTTTTCATGCCCTTTATATCCAAAATTATTCATAATTAAGCAATTGTAAAATACGTCTCATAATAATAATAATAATAATAATAATAATAATAATAATAATAATAAGAAGAAGAAGATATATTGTCATCATCGGTATCAATTGAACTGAAATAAGTTAATATATTATATGTAATTATATTCAATACTACCAATATTGATGTCGATCAACACTATAAAAAAAAATACTATGGTTATTATTACATGGAATGAACGGGACTTTAGAGGTGGGCTAATTATACCATGATCAACATTGCAATATGGACCATAAATACATGTTTATTTTTAATATTTTAAAATTTTATTTTTAATGTACTATAAATTCATTTTTAAATCATACATTAAATAAACATACTAAAAATAAATTTGTAATACACTAATTAAAAAAAAAAAAAACTATCAGTATAATAAAAATAAATCTTTAGGTGAGTGGTGCAACGATTGCTGAAATTGGTCCAATCAAAAATATTTGATTGGGTTTGGATTGTAAAAGTAGAGGAGGCCCATGTTGAATAAAGCAGCCCATTTTGAACTTCCATTGCCGCCTACAGGGTATAATTGTATATTTGTATAAATATAGAATTCATGAATTCGTCTCTGAATATTTATTGTGGCTAAACAGGACATGAAATGATAAATCAGAGTGGTGGGCCCATAACCCATAGGTCCGAGGATCGAAACCTGGCTCTGATAAGAGTGGCTTCCAAACACCAATCGTTATGCGTTGGACCTGTGTCTAGCATGCTTGCTGGACACGGGTAACAATACCGTTAGGCACGGCACTGTTATCTCCTTTTTTTTTTTGTATATGTTCATAAGTTTTTTAAATTTCAGACCGCTTCATTGTAAGAGTATATGTTCATAATTTTATCACTATATGTTAATAACTATACATTCATAACTCCATAACTGTACGTTCATAACTCTATAATTGTACATTCATAACTCCATAACTGTACATTCATAACTCCATAACTGTACATTCATAATTTTCGAAGCTCTATGTTCACAATTTTAGAGCTCTATGTTCATAATTTTATCACTATATGTTCATAATTGTAAATTCATAATGTTAGAGCTCTTTGTTCATAATTTGATCAATAACTGTACATTCATAATTCCATACTGTAGATTCATAATCTCATAACTGTAGATTCATAACTCCATAACTGTAGATTCATAACTCTATAACTGTACATTCATAACTCCATAACTGTACATTCATAATCTTCGAAGCTCTATATTCACAATTTTAAAGCTCCATGGTCATAATTTTATCACTATATATGTTCATAATTGTAAGTTCATAATGTTAGAGCTCTGTGTTCATAATTTCATAATTGCATAACTGTATATTCATAACGGCATAACTGTACATTCATAACGGCATAACTGTACATTCATAATCCAAAAAACAAATAACGCCGTTAACGCCGTTAACGGCAAAACGCGCGCGAATTTTTTTTTTTTTTTAACTAAATGACGCGTTTTTTTAAAAAAATGACGTCGTTTTGGGCCCGTGTCCACAATTCAATGCGGACACGGGTCCAGGGCATAATTTGCCTCCAAACACACCCTAGAATTTTTAAAGCCCATACGAACAGACCTCAACACAGCATGGAAAACTCGAGTTGATTGGGGATTGGTAACTACAAATTAAGTTGTATTTTTTACCATAAGAACATAACTTAAAAACATGGAAAAGCCAAATCGATTAGGGATTGGTAACTACAAGTTTTAAGTTGTATTTTGGCAATAAGAACTTAACTTTAAAACATGGGAAAGAGAAGTTGGTTGGAGATTGGTAACTACAAGTTTCACATTTGTGTGGGTGATTTATTAGTCTTTCTTGATTTGAAATTTTGAGTGGATCAGTGTAATCTTTTGTGAATTAGAGTCATTAGTTTAACTCTCATGAGTCAAGGGTCGCAAAATGATAGCATTACCAAAATCATAGGATTATAATTGAATCATCATTCATACATATGATAGAATTCCCAGGTGTCCTACTTATTAACAACTACGATACTAGGATGCCACACAGTGGGGCAATCATACACCTTTTCCCCGCCGGACGATCTCAATTATCAAATCCTCAGTTCCACACCAAAATGTCAGATTCCCTTCACTATGCAAGAATGAATCGACAATGGCGATAACCTGCAATTATTACCAGCCCACTTTACATTAGAGCGTTCTAACAGCAGAGAAACTTAAAAAGATTCAAACTTTGAACGATAAGCTTACTTGGGTCAGAGTTGATGAGCATAGCAGTGCCTTCAAAGCCACAGGTGCCGCCAATTTTCTTGGATCTCTGCCAGTAGCTGTTGAAAGCGTAGGAAGCATGGGCGACAATGGTGTCGGGGAAATAGCAGCTGCCGTGAGGACTAATGGCTTGGCAGTCCGCGCCGCCTTCTCCACAGGCGTAGTCCAGAGCCTCCTTCAGAGTCTCCGGCGGCACGTTGGGCTTCGCCACGCACCACAGCCCACCGTGCGCAGGCGCCGGCGGCACAGAGACTTCGCCCCCGGACGGCTTACACGGCGGCAAGTGCGGCCCGTACGGCGGAGTTGCAGGGTTGAACATGGGAGCTGGAAGAGACAATGGGGGCGGCGGAAAACTCCCTATAAGTGGAGGGAGAGGGCTTTTTGCAGCAAACGCCGGCGAAGATGAACCGGTGGGGGGTTGAGCCGGAGCTATTAGCCATGGCCTAGCCGGAACTGAATCTGCAAATAAAGAATCAAACAAGGAAAGCCTTCTGCTTCTGCTTCTGGGTTTTGCTCTTTCCTGCCTCTCATTCTCTGCCATTAAATGGATCTTCTTCAGGCTAAAACCTCCAAGATTCTTGATAAACTCTGAAATGGACAAATCAGAAGAAGGGGTGACCAAATAAGGCGCATCTATCTCCCTGAAAAACTCAACAACAGGCTTAACATATGTCTCTGCATAGCTCTGGTACTGCAAACAGCTTGGGGAGAAAGAAGTTGAGACTTTGATTTCCCCTCCCAAACCCCACCTAGTAAGAGAATAGTGAATGTTCTTCATGGATGGCAACACCAACCCCACCCTCTCTTCCCCACACAAAAAAACTGGAACCCCAGAAAAAGCCTGCAGACCCACTGCTTCATCACCTGCAAAAACCAAGAAATTAAAGCAGGAAATGAAATGAAATGTCAGAAGCCATGCTATTAATTTAATTTGTTTATTACCATTGACAGCAGCAAAATGGAGAAGGAAGAGGAGGAAGAAGCAAGAAAGATTGAACATTTTTTGGGGGAAATGGGAAGGGAGAGCACAATGTGGAGATGAAGCTGAAAGCTGAAATTTCTTTGCCATTCTGCACTCTCATTATGTACCTCAAGTTGTGTCAGTAAAGCTTTAAAGGCTCTGGAGACTGGAGTGCAAACCAAGGAAATACAACACTGTACGGGGACAGAATTACCAACTTAAATTACCTCAAGGACTAACTTGTAAAATTTTGTGTGATGTGCAGTGACAAGTAAAAGTAAAAGGACCTAAAACAATGCATAGGGTCTCGAAAATGCACCATGTCAAGCCCAAGGCCCAAAAAAAAGTTGTACAGCAAAACACTCACAACTCACAACATGGAGTTGTCATAGGCTCATATCGAGTTTTAATTAAGTTTGTCAAATTGTTTATGGGTGGTTAGTAGAATGTAATTGCAATTCAATTACAATGTTATTTTTTGGCAATAGAAATTATAATGTTTGATAATTTGGAGGGTGTGATTGAGTGAAAATAATTCATTCATTCTAACCAAAAGTCAATAGTGGAAATGGAGCAACCCAATCAAATGTCCTGTTATTGATTTTCTTAAAAAAACACTCACAAAATAAAGCGTGTATCATATATGTCATAATTTTATTAATATAATACAAAAAAAGGAATAAAATGACGACTTACTTTTCATTTGAATGAATCAAAACACAAATACGTAGAGATTAAAGACCAATATCCCTCGGAGCTAGCATAGTGATTGATCACATAACTTTAAGGTATAGATGAAAGTGATAGAATGGGAGTTTAAACCCTATTTGGAGTTGAAGGCCCTGTTTGGTAAAATAGTTACCTTGTATGTCAATTTTAACTTATTTGATCGCTATTAGCTATTTGACTTGGTTAAAAAAAAAATCAATTTAACTGTTTGATTAATTAATTTTTTGAAACTCCAAAATGTTAAAATTGAAAAAGTTGTTAAAAACAACTTTTTCAATTAATTTTTTAAGAAAAAAAAATATACCAAACAATTATCAATTAACCGTTAATTTACCAAATATTTTTTTACAATCAGTTAATGTTATCAACTAATTATACTCTCTAATTAATCTGATTAACTAACCGTTATTAGCTATCCGTCATTTATCAAATAAGGCCGAAATGTTTAGCGTGTAAGTTATAAAATTTATGTTTTTTTTTAAAGACCGATAGCACATATAATATTTAATTTTGTTTTTCCCTTTCGTTAAAACCAGCTGTACAGTGGTCAAGAAGTATGGTAAAACGGCGTCGTACCTCGCGCAAAACAAACAGCATATGGAGCCCAGAGTACTATGTATGTACAGTACAGGGGCCTGCTTTGCGTTGTTGTCCCATGCAAAAAAGCAGGTGTATATTTATGCTGACTTGGGCCCACCAAAAGCTTACTCAGCATCAGGCAGTGGGCCCACCAAGGATTCTTGGCTGCTTTTGAGCTTATGGACCACTTTTCTCTTTGGGGCCTTTCAAGTGTCAACACAACAATTCTTTTGAGCCCAGCAACAATGGAAAATTCTAAGGGCATCCACAATGTTTTTTTTTTTTTTTTTTTTTTTTTTTCCTCTAATGGTGTATTTAGAAAACATTAAAAAAAAAAAGATTTATGGAAATGTTTTTAAAAATAACTTATTTTTCAGAAAAATATTCTCATTTTTTGTGTTTGGTTGCATTTTAAAAAACTGTCTTTGTGTGTCTGGTTCATTTTTTGAAAAATAAATAAATTGTATTTTTTTAGCAGAATTGTATAATTAGAATTTTAATTATTGTTACCTAAAAAAGATTTGACAATAGCTATTTGACAACATTTATGTGTTATTTTTTTCCAAATAACAAATAAAATATAATTTTTTTAAAGAGTATTGGTTTCCATCTCCAGTTTGCGATTCCGTCGAAAACCAATAGAAACTAAACTGGTTTATGTTGGAAACCATACTGTTTTTTGGTGAAAATCAATATAGTTTGTACTGATTTTGGCCAAAACCAATATGATTTTGTCAGAAACCAGTCAAGGTAGAAAGCGGGAGGATGGCGGAAAAAAGTCGAGAAGCATTCTCAGAAGAAAGCTGAGGAAGAAGTCGCGAAAGAAACCAGGAAGAAGAAGCACTTGGATCCGAAAATGACTTCTCAAAAAAGGGAAATTATTTTTCAAAAAAACCAAGCTATTTGTTTTTTCTTTTGACCAGAAATCATTTTTCATTGACTTCAATTTTTCACCTTCTTCCAAACACTGAAAATCCAAAAAATCATTTCCTAAGTTTTCAAACACACTCTACATTGTAGCTTCAAGTTCTCTACATCACCTGAGCAACCTTCTTAGTGAGGTTCTTTAAGCATTACAAACATCACACGATTATTTTATTCGCGACTTATAGTAAACGTAAAGCGTTGTGTCAGTATTTATCAACGCATACAAAAAGAGGGTTCCCAAACGTTGAGGAGGGAGGGAGAGTGGTTGAGATGGCTTACTTCTTGAAGCTTTAAATTATTATGCAGATCGAAAGGGGGAATAACAAAAGGTATGTTTCAATGTTTCATGCCTGCCTTGGCATTAAAGAAAGGTTTCGTGAGATCCTCCGGCCTCGGACTCAACTTCCTTTTCACAATTCGTTGTCTTGCCAATCATCCACACTGCAACATAATTGCTTCATCTACGTATATATACCATCACCTAATAATGTTGGTTGGAGGTCCCCTAGGATCTATCCTTGATAATTTAATATCTACGGGTAGTTGAACATTTAAGACCAGAAGTGCAACTGCTTTAAAGCAGATTAATAGTCGCTAATTCTAAACTGTGCTACGAATTAAAATTGCATTATTTTTTTTGTCAGACAACGAGGTGTCATGAGCATACTCTAATTGTAGGAGGCACCTTTAAGTTCGTACCATACTCAGATTAATTTCTGTTCTCACTTTATCTTTTACACCACTTGTTTGTTTTACGGCTACGGGATACTCGGAAGGCGGGCCAACACAACCATAAAAATATTAAGTAAAATTTGAGAGAGATTGTGGACATAGGGCAAATTATTCCGTGTACCAGGGTGCACAATACATTGTGCGCCCTGACCCAAAACGACGTCGTTTTGACATTTTTTCGCGTGTTTGCTGTTAATCCCTTAAAAATCTATGTTTCGAATGTACAGAATTGTATAATAGAAAACATAGAATTTTATACCTAAAAACACATAATTTTTATAACTGAAAATCTCCATGTTTTGAATGTACAAAATTATATAATAGAAAACACAGAATTTTATACCTGAAAACACAGAATTTTATAACTGAAAATCTCCATGTTTCGAATGTACATAATTATATAATAGAAAATACAGAATTTTATACCTGAAAACACAGAATTTTATACCTGAAAACACATAATCTTTTTTAAAATGATAAAAATCTCATTTCGAATGTACATAATTTTATACCTGAAAACATAGAATTTTATAACAGAATACAAAACAACGTCGTTTTGGGAGGCGCGAGACACACATTGCTATGTGCGCCTTGGTGCACGGTATAACGATTGGTGGACATAGTAGTTGCACTTGAATTGAATTTAGAACCTCTACAATGTGGGCAAATTATGCTGTGCATCCGTATGCACCATGCACCATGGTGCATACGGATGCAAAAACGACGTCGTTTTAATAAAATGCGCGTCTCCCCTTTAAAAAAAAAAAATCAGGTTCGATTCCCAGCAACAACATATGAACTAAAATTCCATAATCGATGAACTATAATTCCATAATCGATGAACTATAATTCCATAATCTAATCTATGAACTAAAAATTCCAGAATGAATGAACTAAAATTCCATAATCTATAAACTAAAATTTCAGAATCGATGAACTACAATTTCATAATCGATGAACTATAATTCCATAATCAATGAACTATAATTCCATAATCTATGAACTAAAATTCCAGAATGAATGAACAATATAATGTTGTTGCTGGGAATCAAACCTGATTTTTTTTTAAAAGGGAGACGCGCGTTTTTTAATAAAACGGCGTCGTTTTGGCATCCGTATGCACCATGCATGGTGCATACGGATGCACAGCATAACGATTGTACAATGTGACCCCAGTGGATTTATACAAGATTCATGGACCTTGAAAAAAGGAAAGAAGAAAGAAATTAACAAAACTGAACTTAGGAAAGCTTATTTACTTCTTAATATGGTAAAAGGAAATTTCGAACAAAAACTGGAAAGAATCTCCACCAAATCTTCTTTCACAGCCTCTAAGCATAGCACCTGGTCGAAGACCCTCTAACTGCCTACACCGGTCACCCAATCGGGCTGACCAACAAGCCATGTGAGTGGATTGGAGGCCAGGCTACTGGATCGTTTAGGTGCATACCTGACTAGGTACCCTATGGGGGGTATCCATCACCACTAAACGTGTGAACTATGCCCGAGACAAAAGTCTGGCGGCAAATTATGCTATGGACCCGGGCCACCTTGTAAGGTGGACCCAGGTCCAAAACGCGCGTCTGGAGTCAATGATATATATATATATATATATATATATATATATATATATATATATATAGTTCAAAAATTATGAACATAGAGAAACGAATTCTGAAGGCAAATGGCAAGGAAGGAATCAATTTTTTTAAAATAAAAAATCAGACAACGACGTTTTGAAGCAAAACAATATCGTTTTGGATCCGGGTTCACCTTGCAAGTACGGGTCCATGACATAACAATTGAAGTCTGGCTGCTATTATTTGAAAGGTAGTACGTACTACGTAGCCAATAAATTACCAAGAAGTAGTGTGGAAGTTGAACTGAATGGTTGCATGAAACACGAAGCCCAATCTAGGTGCCAACCACCGTGACTTACTTCCGAATTTCAAGCCAATTAACCCTTTAGTCAAATTTAGTGTGCCTGACTATGTACAATCTAAATTAATAATTAGATTGTGTATTTATATATTCAACACAATTGATGTAGATATGTGAAACAAAAGGTAAAATTATACCGTGAATAAAATTCCATATTTCAGTGATGATAACTGATAAATGTTTATTTTTGGTATAATAGTGTATTACAAATTAATGTTTTTAGATGAATTAAAGATGAACATG